GCTTCACAGTCAGGCTCAGAGCTCATAAAGCCCAAAAATCACCTAAGACCCAAAATTCAGGAGCTCCAATGAGAAATATTTTTATCTATCAGTCCTAAAAGTTGGGTCCAAAAATATTTGGTGTTTTGCAAGAGTCTAGAACGCGTAAGGCCCAAATTTTTGAACTGGGAAATTTTTTTTTTGAAATTTTTTCAAAATTTCTTTCTAAGGAGTTTCCGAAAATCCTCCAAAGGCGGATTTTTCTTCAGTCCGAGAGCTGTACACTCGCGATTTTGTATGGAAACAGTTTGAGAAAGTGAATAAAAAACTCACCCTTCAGCTGAGTTGTTTCAATAGCAAACATATTGAGCGCCAGAAGCTGCAGCAATCTGGTACCCGGAAGGGGCAGTGGTGAATGCTGCAGCAGTGCTCTAAATTCTCTCAGCATCTGAATTGCCGCCTCCTGAAACGTCTCCATTCTGAAACATACATAATAATTTTCCCGTTAATGGAAAGCAATGTGATGTTGATTATCCATTTGTCAATTTCCGGACACTCAAATAATAGTGGAAGCTGAAGAAAAACAGAATAACTGGAATACGTTAAATAGCAGGATGTCGTAGAAATGGACAACCACCACTTGTCCAACAACCTTGCTCCATTTGCACTGCTCGCAATAATAACGAGAAAACAAGTTATCTACCATCGATACACTGATGACTCATGACATTCATTGAAAGTCTAACTGAAGATATGCATCCTTATTTCACTGATACCGTGACTGTCTCCATCCAACCAATTCCCCTTTCAAACAAATGGGAAATTGCTCTTGCAATGCATATAGTATAGCTATCTTTGCTAATAAATTAGCAATACGCTTCCGAATGGGTATTTTGCACATCATTTCCTCCTATCATCTATAATTCATTGTTTACTTCATTTTATTAAATTGAATAAGATTTCTTTTCAATTAATTTTGTCAGATTTTCAACTTAGTTGAATGTTATCATCATCATTATTCTTATTATCCCTTTCTTCTAGACAACCGATTGTCTTTTTTACGGTTCTATCTCTCCCCTCAGCCCTGCGATAAAATGTTAATAGAAAAATTTTATTTATGAAATACTTGAATGAACTTGAAATATCGCATTTGAAGAAAGCATCCGAAAGCTCACTTTCAGGGAAATTCATGAAAAATTCGAAATTTTTAACAATCATCATAAAAATCAAATCAACCAATATAGCTATCGTAATCATCGTTTAACTTCGACTTAATGCCATTAAAACAAACATTTCAAGCTATGATTGAATTCATTTGAGGCATGATATTCAAAGATATTTCCGGAATTCTGATTTTCAAAAAATAGAAAATTTTTCCAAATTTTCAAATAAATCAAAATAACGATTATTGCCATCGCCTTCATCTTCGAACTCGGTCAAAAGGACATCCAAACAATTTTTTTAGG